ACATATCCATCGACCCACCCAGCCACATGCCCCCGCCACACCACCCACCAACCCAGCCACATACCACATGCAACCACCCAGCCACACGCCACACACAGACACACATACACACACACACACCCACACACACACACTGCATCTGGCTGGAGCCAGATGGTGCTCCCAGTGCACGGAGGGGTGTGGCGCATGCATGGGGGACATGCCCTATCCCATGGCAATGTGCTGCATTCAGCGGGTGCTGCCTGTGCCCCCCTTCCTGCACCCCCCTGCCCACTCCCCTCATGGCACCCTGCAGCCACGCACCACGTTTCCCCCCCATGCACACACTGGGAGCACCTGCCGGCTGCAGGGCACATGGGAAAGGGACATGTGAGGCACAGGCAGTGCCCACTGCCTGTAGCATGTGAGGCAGGGTGTGCCCCCACCCACTCCCTGCATAGCACACTGCGGCTGCACGCCATGCCCCCCCGTGCAGGGTGCACCTGCCAGCTGCAGGCCATGAAGGGGGCATGGTGCAGGGGGTGGGTGTGCAGCCGTAGGCAGCCCTGAGGGAAGCAGACAGCACCCACCAGCTGCAGCACGTGGCTCAGGGCAGGGCGCACCCTGACACCCATTCCCCACACAGCACCCTATTGCCATGCACCATGCCTCTGCCGTGTTTTGGAGCTCCCAGTGCGGGGGGGGCATGGCCACAGGGTGCTGCACAGGGAGTGAACCAGGGGGCGATGCCCCGCCCTGCGACCATGTGGTGCATTCAGTGGGCACTGCATGCACCCCCCTCCCCACCCCTCATGGCACCCCATGGCAGCGCACTCCCCTACAGCATCAAGCCACGCCCTCTGCAAGCCACACCCCTGCATGGCCAGTCCCTGCAGCAGGGAGCACAGCCCGGCCCTGCCCCCCTCGGTGCCTACCTCCACATCCGCCTGTCTGTCTGTCTGTCTGTTGTCTGTCCTAAGGGTCCGGGCCACACATGCGCAGTTGGCCCAGAGTGTTATGGACAGACAGACGGAAGTGCTAAGGCTCTTATTATATTAGAATATTTTATAAATGATCTTTTTCAGGTCTTGTCTAGGCTGCATTTTCTTATGTACTATTTATTAATATCCAATTCATTAAGATGATATCTTCCTGCAAGAAAATCTATAAAGTAGCATAGAGTATGTCTAAACAAGACTCTAAAAGCACAGTACACTAATTTACTGCACATTAGCGTGTTACAGCAAGAGCCA